ACTCGAACAATATGATATCCCACGTGTGAGAAGACGTTTACTTCAAATGATCCGTCATTATGCCATTGTGGGCCGACTCCTGTGATGCCCACAGAGCTATCGTTGCTCAATCGGAAGATGTGGCGGTTGGGCGCTTGTGGATGAACTCCATGAGTGCTATGCATCTCTCGAGCGCCCCAGAACTGGCTGCAATGCACCTGCTCATCACCGCTTAAGACCCCTTGATCTTTGAAGACCAGGAAACCTCTGGATGCCATCTCAGCCTCAGGGTTTCTCAGAAGGATCTGAAACACCACAATGTGAAGGGTCTGAAACAAAAGAACGCGACACAGAACTGTTCGACTTCGATTTATTGGATTTTAACACATTTGACTCTTTGAAGAACTTGAGGAAAGGAATAGATAGGAAGGAAGGAAGGAAGGAAGGAAGGTTTAAAGAAAAATAATGCACATGACAAAGGAGGAAAACGAGGAAGACAGAGTAGCGGAAAACTTTCTTTCTTTCTCTCTCTATCTTTCCTGTGCCACTATGGCTCATACACATGTACATTATATACGATTAGCTTATATCTAGCTTGCTTATAGCTGTTAACGAGTGCTGGGTGAGACTTCCGGAGCCGTTTCCACCTCCAAGGCTTGGAGGACTTCCGGCTTCGGTGGTGAGGTCCTCAAATCGAGGCCACTCACTTCGGCTCCCAGCGGATGGATCGCAGCGATCCGCACGCCGTGCTTGGCCAAGAGTTGCACATTCGACTCGGCCAAAGCGCGTACCGCCATGAGTAGCGATGCCAGGAGCCTTTAGTAGCTTCTTGTTACTACTAGTAAGGCACTTGTTCCTAGTAGCGAGATCGTGCCCGTCTGCGATTGTGATCTGAAGCTGTTTGGCCATGAGTCGTGTCTGGGTGTCTATGACGTGTTTGTCGGTGTGCGGCGGTAGTTGCTTCGAAGCGAAGCTCCAGTTGTGATCTGGAGCTGTTTGGGTTTCTGTCGGTCAGTATGGGTCACCATAGAGATGCAAATGCTCGAGTGCTTGAGCCACTTGCATCTGGTCTAAGTTGAGAAAAACAAACTAACAAACATGCTTAGAGGCCAGAAAGCACCATTTGCACCCGGCTTTACATGAACGGTGCAGGTTGTGCATGTTTCATGATGCAATTAGGTTGGAGGCCGTTGCTATTAGTAACTCAAAACAAGATTGTTTCCCGCTCCACAGTCTGCTTCCAGATGCTGCGATTCTGACAACCGGGTCGCTCTCTGCCACTGTCAGTCTTGAGGGCTGTTGTATGTGAGTCTAAACATAGGGATTGCGCATCACCAAATCCTTTCATTTGCATGGTGTCTTTCTTGATATTGTTTATTCAGGCCTTTACCCCTGTCTTTCTTTTCAACCGTTTCTTGCCGCTTATTTCCCCTTGGGGAATGGACTTGACTATCCTTTGCATCAGACACCCGCAAACATGTGTTTTTTCTCCAACAAGCCTTGTCTTGCAAGGCCTTAGCAAAATACTGGTCTTGTCCAGTCTTGATACGTTGTTTTCCAACTCAAACGACTCCCAAAAGCTCCATCTTGCCCAGCTGCTGGAGTGTCGTTCAGCAGCAGAAACGCCAACAGCCAATACCTTGCAAAGGCTGCGATGGGATTTTGCTCATGTGATGCTCTTTCCGAAGGTTTGATAGTAGGTCTTTGAAGCTTTCTACTAACTAGAAGCTACTAGGTGGAGGCCATTACTACTAGTAGCAAGGACGCTATTAGGTGGAGGCCATCGCAAGTAGGTTGGAGGCCATTGCTACTAGGAACAACTGACACGCCGCCAAAGTCCGGACCGGTCCTTGCTACTAGTAGCGATGCCCTTTGTTCCTAGTAGCTTCTTGTTACTACTAGTAAGGCACTTGTCACTAGAAGCGATGCACTTGTTCCTAATAGCTTCTTGTTTCTACTGCTGTTCGACTCAAACTAGGGATGGCCTCCAACCTAGTAGCTTCTTGTTCCTAGTAGCGATGCCAGGAGCCCCTAGTAGCGATGCCCTTGCTCCTAGTAGCTTCTTGTTACTACTAGTAAGGCACTTGTTACTAGTAGCGTGGCACTTGTTTCTAGTAGCTTCTTGTTACTACAGGTGAAACGATTCCCAAGGAAGCTTCGATCTCTGCCTCCAGGTCGATCGGAGCATTCTCCATTGCCACAAGAGACTGGCCATTGTGCACGATTGCAATCACAAGAGTGGTGTTGGTATGCTCATTGCTCTCCCACTGAACTGAACAAGAGATCTGCAAACCTAGTCCACATGAGTCTGAACCTGTGGAAGCAACAAGAGGGAGTTCCAATGAAGTCGGTTAAAGAAACTTTTTGAAGCGCACCCTCTGCCACTGGCTGGCGCGGAGGCAAGCACTGGTGATGGCACTGCTGGTGGCCTTGCGCTCTGGGCTCCACCAGTTGGCACGAGAACCAAAGGTCGGCTCAAACCAGGCTTGCAACATTCTTTAGTGGGAAAGGAGGAAAGAAGGGTCCAAGAAAGGTCCAAGGGTCCAAGAAACAGAAACGGGCTGCATGCTTAAGCTATAATGTTCACTCAATCAGAACGCTTGCACACACTAGGCTCGCCTTATGTTCTGTCTCCTTCTTTATCTTTTCCTGTAGACCTGCAAAATAGACCTGTCATTTTCCGTACCTTCCTTTTAACACGTTCTTTCCTCCCCTTATTAGTGTACATATTGCCAAACTCGGCCAGATTGCACTTCAGGCCAAACTTGGAAGCACGTCTCTTGGCTCACGGCCACCTCCAAATGAATTCGCTGCATCCTGCAAACGAAAAACAAACCGCGGGCAATCAGGCAGGCCGGGCAAACCAATTAGAACAACTTAAGGAAGAGAACCGCAAAAGCCAAAGGAAAGGAAAGGACATGAAAAGGAGAAGGAGGAGGAGGAGGAGGAGAGTAGAAGAAAAACAAGAATCGAACATCACCAAATGAATAGTGCGAGCACTATCATACGTCCAGTTACTAGTAGCTTGCTTTGCCCAAAGAAGCAATGGCCTCCAACCTACTAGCGATGGCCTCCAACCTAGGAGCAATGGGCTCCTAACAGTTATTAGTAGTTGCCTCCTCAATTAAGGAGCTAGAAAACCTGTCGCTGGCGCTGTGCACGTTGCTGGGCCTCATGAGGTCTAGGAGGTTGAAGGATTCCATCCAAGATCCACCGGCAGCAAAGCCACTCAGGGCAGCATTGGCCCCAGTCTCAGTCACGGCTTCTCTGGAAATTTAGTAGCGTCCTTGATCCTAGTAGCGATCCCAGGAGCCACTAGTATTCTTGCTCCTAGTAGCGATGCCCTTTGTTACTAGTAGCGTCCTTGTTACTAAGCCACCATTGCCATTAAGGGAAGTTGCGGAAACTTCAAGAAACCCGAGTGCACTGAGCAAAGAGCTGCATCCAGTTTCAGCCGCAGGTCCCTGAACGTAGGACAGTCCGTCCAATTGTTTAGTTTCGCACGCCCACACAGATGACAAGCACACCAAATTGATTGTCCACTTCAACAAAGTGGCTCCAAGCTTGAAGAATCTTGTCCACTCCAAGGTATGTTTGAACATGTTCATTTGTCCTATTTCGGGCACAATTGGCCTCTTAGGTTGGAGGCCATTGCTATGAGGTTGGAACAAAATGAAAAAAGAAAGTCAGTTCCTTTGATTCCCTTGAAGAGATGGCCTCCAACCTACTAGCTTCTTGCTACTACTAGTTTCTTGTTCCTAGTAGTAAGGCCAGGAGCCCCTAGTAGCGTCCGATCGCTCCTAGTAGCGATGCCCGTTGCTCCGTTCGTAGCTTCTTTGATTCCCTTGAAGACTCGAAGACATCTGAGATCAGCTGACATCTCACCAAGAAACAAGAAGCTACTAGGAACAAGTGCATCGCTTCTAGTAACAAGTGCCTTACTAGTAGTAACAAGAAGCTAGTAGAAACACGAATTAGTAATTAGAAACAATAAGCTACTGTGAACGTCACACCCTGTCGCCTCATCGAAGCTAAGAGCTCCGACACCCTCGTGCGCCCTTTTTGTGCCAAGGCCGTGTTGAAGCTAACAACATCTCGCCTGGGCGGAAAGAACTACCCGCTGCTAGCCACTCCCCCAGCCGCTACTCTCGCAAGCAAGGGACAAAACTGTGACTACTTTGGTTACTAGGAGATAAAAATAAATACTACACTCATTCTTCCCTTTTGTCCTTTTCACCTTTAGACCTTTGGACCACTTTGTTTCCTGTTGACACAATTCGCATTCATTCAACAAAGGTGAACCAAGGTGACAAGGCACTTCCTGGTGCGAAAAATGTGCAAAGCGTAGTCCCACCTTTCACAAGGCTAGGAGGATCACAACTCACGCCTGAAACTCAAATCGTAAATGGCCTTTCGCCCCATTGATAGACGGCTGAAAGCACATTGGCAGCACGAACCTGAAGACAGGGATTGACCGCTAGTAGGTTGGTGGCCATGGAAAGAAAAGAAAGAAAATTAGTAAACTACAGACCATTAGGTTGACAGAAAGCACATTGGATTGAGAGAGACAGCTGAGGTGGACGCTCGTGGGCTCGTCTGTGCCTTGGCAGAGGACGAAACTGCTTAGAACCCTTTAAGACCTTCGCTTTGGAGCAAAGATGCTACTAGGGGCTCCTGGCCATACTACTAGGAGCAAGAAGCTATTAGAAACAAGAAATAAGTAGAATGAACATAGAATTAAAACAAGAAGCTTTTCGTAGGACCTTTTCGTGTTCCTCTTTTTGGACGACATCACCGGAGCGACGCCACAAACGGTCCACTACACGAGCTCTGGCTCTGAGTGAAAGATTTCCATCTTTCCAGGGCCGGTCAGTTAGAATATGTTTAAGAAAAAAATTATCTAAACCGCAGGCCATTGCTTCTAGGTTGGAGGCCATTGCTGTTAGGTTGGAATAAAAAGGAAATTACTTTAAGTTCTGTCCGTCACCGATCACACCATCCTAGTCTCAGAGCTGCGTTGATCATTCTGCCGTGTGCGCGCGCGCTCTCACCGACTCGATGCAAGCGCTTCCAACCTGCCCGGCGTATGCTGAAAGACATCCCCAAATCCAAATACCAAAAATCAAACTGAACAAAAGCTTTGACTATTGGGATTCAAGTCTTTTTGAGATCAAAAGCTCCAAAACTGACCCTCTTGAGGATACCGGGTACCCACAACCAAATCTCTGGATAGGCTGGATACGGGGCGGCGGGGCGGTGGCTCAGACCTCTTCGGCCCGTTTGGTCGCATCCACTTCCCCGACGTAGCAGCCCTTCTTGGAGAAGAACTGTCGAAGCAATGTGGAGTCCTGACGACTGTCGGAAGACAAAAGGAACCACTAAGAGTGCGAAGTCCCTTTGAACATGCAAGCTTCTTGTTACTAGTAAGGCCAGGAGCGCCCTAGTAGCGTCCGATCGCTCCTAGTAGCGATGCCCTTTGCTCCTAGTAGCCACAGTTGAGAAAAGTGCAGGGAGAAAAGTCGCTTCGTCCTTCTGGTGACGCTCGAGGTCTTCTTTCAGCTTCGATTCCTGCTTCTGGAGCTGTCTGAACGAACCAACTAGCATCAACTCTAAACCTTGACTACTAGGAGCAGAGGGCATCGCTACTAGGAGCGATCGGACGCTACTAGGGGCTCCTGCCCTCACTACTAGGAGCAAATAGCTAGTAGTAGCAAGAATGAATTTGACTCCCACTTGTGAGTTACTTGTAGGAAGGCCCGAGCCCAAGCCTGGAAGGAAGGCCGGATCAATGGATCTCCCGTGAAGTCATCCACACCTTTCTCCAGAGGAGTTCGATGAGAGTCGTGGTACAAGCGTCCTGATCTGCAACCCACAGCACGTGATTGTGCACGAGGTACTAGCTTCTTGCTACTAATAGCTTCTTGTTCCTAGTAGTAAGGCCAGGAGCCCCTAGTAGCGATGCCCTTTGTTACTAGTAGCTTCTTGCTCCTAGTAGTCAAGTTCCTGATATGCTGATCTTCAGAGCGGTGAGGTTGGAGGCCATCGCTGTTCGGTCAGGCCATCGCTGGTCGGGGGCCATCGCTTCTAATTGATATGATATGGTCATTTTCCGGCTAAATTCACCAAGATGGGTCCCAACCAATCGCTGAACTCGACGAAAAAAGTCGAAAGAACGAAACGTGCAATGAAATCTGCCAGTGATATCCTGAAGCTTCGTGAAGAAGCCGACCCTGACATCTTTCCAGAAGAATGTCCTGCACAATCAAGGGTAAGAATCTCCAAATCTCTCACCCCAAGAACATGGAACCTATTGCCTATTAGAAACAAGTGCCACGCTAGTAGTAACAGGTGCCTTACTAGTAGTAACAATGTTTGCTATTAGAAACAGCTATCAAAGAGGCAATTCAAAAGACTGAACCAAGTAGAACAGCACTTGCTGTTGCCAAACATCGCCCCGCAAAGCCATCGATTGTCAGCTCCTTTGGAGCATCCAGAAAAATGGCCGTGTCCAGGCCCTTCTTTCGCTTGGAAAGCTCCTCCTCGAGCCGTGCCGCCTCACAAGGTGGGGAGAACACGCTGCGTGCTGCGTGTTGCGTCATGGCTGGTGTCAGGTTTTGATGCTGGTGCATTCTGTTGTCGTGCCAACCGATGTGCATAGGTAGAAAGGGGTATATATATTGGAGTCCATGAGTCCATCACCCTCTTAAGACATAAAGTTGTTTCATGGAGATTCATGGCACAATGCCTGAGCAACAGTTCTTGGAAAGCCATCTAGCACAAAGCCACGACGACACTGAGGACGCTCTAGCAGCTCTGCCAGCTTTGACCTTGAGAGCTCGCAGTTTGTGAAACAAAGTGCGGAAAAGAAATAAGAAACCTAAGAGCGATGGCCTCCAACCTAAGCAGCTTCACTTATATAGTTGAAACTACGTGTGCACAAAGCACAAACATGAAGAGAACATTTATCTTAAAAGCCGCCGGAGCCACCTGTAGACATGCCTTTAGGGAATAAAAAACATCTTAATCGTACGCTACCCTCTTGCAATGTTGAACAAGAATGCTCAGCGCAAGAGCTTGACAAGGGGTGCATGCTAGGTAACAAGGACGCTACTAGGAACAAAGGGCATCGCTACTTGGAGCAAAAATGCTACTGGGGGCGCTCCTGGCCTTACTACTAAAAGTAAGAATGCTACTAGGAACAAGAAGTTACTAGCAACAAAGGGGTGCATGCGTTTCAGCTTGACTTGATGCCAAGCTGCACTGCTTGCTCATCGCTCGATGCCCCTGTGACAAAAACAGGGACTGCAGCCAGGGACTGTCTTTCACTGATGCGGTACAGCTTTGTCTTTCTCCCAAGAATATATAAACTGGTTGTGAACCATAGTTTTTTGACTGCTTTTCTTCTTTCTCTTTCTTTAGACCCGGCCCTGACAACCGTTGTAAGATGTGCTCGCCCTCATCAAGCGCTCAACCGAGGCACCAGAGTCGCCCAACAAGTCCTTGCCCGAAATCCGGCAAAGGCCGAAGGCGCGTCGAAGGGCATCCGCTTGTGTGTCTTTTCCTTGGTGGAAGTCGAAACCCTTTCCATCAAGGAACCTCTTGGGACATTAGGGGCGCAACCAGCATCGCCTGGTTCGAAACTGTGGGACACATGTGGTGTGATACCGAGTCATATACAATAGTCAAGAGTGTAGAAAAAGGCATCCCACAATCAGCTTGAACAAGCTTTGGTTGGGATGCTCAAAAGGAAAGGAACGTTGCAGCAAGTTTCCAGCGCACGGGGGGCCCAAGACAGCCACATTGGCAGGTTTGCGGTTCAGCAAGTCATGCCTGCAAGGGTTGCGTGTCCGCCATATCTTCAATGACGCTTAAACCTCTAACTCTTCACAGTCCAAAGTTCTTTCTGCCCAACTTTGCAAAAGATGCTCTACGCCGCCCAGTGAAGTCCACGAAGAAATGCAAACAAACGGATTGCAGGGACTTAAAGCCATAAAACGTGAAATCTTTCATAGATTGGCTCGCTCTCCCATTCCATGAGTTTCATATCTGGTCCGCAGGGGCTGTTCCGACATCCTGAATTTCTATATAAAAACAACAACAACTCTTTGCCACTACTGCAAACAACAGCATGCTATAAGAAAGACTTGGTGTGATGTTTAGAATTCCACAAGGTGTATTTGAGTACTTGAGTACTCTTGAGCCCTGAGCGCTGTCTGGGAGTGCCTCCGCCGCAACTCAGTGATCAGCTCGGCGGTTGGCACTGTTTCCAAGTCCTCGGGTGAGACCCGACCTGGCATGTGAGCTGGGAACGCTTGGCAAAACGTGCCCAGCAAAATGAACAAATCGTGAAAGAAAACTGTGTTGGAATTGAGGTTGTTTTGATGACTACTATGAACAGGAAGCTACTAGTAACAAGGGCATCGCCACTAGCAACAAGGGGCATTACTACTAGGAGCAACTAGCTACTAGGAACAAGGTCTTAATCGGGCCATTTAGGTTTAAACGGATCAACCCCACTTTGCCTCCCGGGCCCGCCATCGGAGATCGCCCGCCAGCGGAGAATTGAGTCAACTTTTGGAGTCCGTACCGTTGAGTCCGTTCCTTGCCCTTTGTTACTAGCAAGCTTCTTGTTCTTACTAGTAAGGCACTTGTTCCTAGAAGCAATGCACTTGTTCCTAGTAGCTTCTTGTTCTCATTCGTGTCTTCCTTTTCCTGGCATAGCACCTTTTGAGAAAGTGCCGGTTATTGGGGCCGGGCGGTTGTGCTCTGCTCTCGCGATGCCATTGGTATGTTGTGTTCACATCTTTGTAGCTTGTCCAGCTTGCCCTTAGGGCTTGAGCCAAGCAGCCGATGAAAGGACAGCAACTCAGAATGCTTCGATTCCATTGTTAAAACAGCATGGAAGTTGCTGGGCTTTCCAACCGGACTGTGGCAGGCCATCTGCCATCGCCGGCCTTTCCCTTGCGCCAGCAGCAAGGCCTCCCAGCAAAGCTCATCCACTTGGAAGTTTTGGCAGAGTGCGCCATGCAGCAACTCCTGCGGGGTCATCAGTCTGAAGGCAGAAACCAGTTCTTGTTGGCAACGGAAACGTAGCACAAGTACAAGAGCGATTTGCTGTGGAAGCAAAAACTTGCAACAAAAACCAGGAGATCTTCGGTCACCTTCGGTATGTTGGCACGAGCCGACATATTCTTTGCTCTAGCCTAAGAACGTTGGTCTTGGTTTTACACCTTGTTACCACTCACAATTGCCCAGTCTGTTTTCTGTTGTTCTTTCTATACATTGAATATTTGGTGGGTGGGGGGTAACGCCATGAAGAGGCACAGGGGCAGGAGGAAGGGGAGGAAGTAGAGGGAAGTAGAGAGGCAGAGGTAGAAATAGCTACTAGAGAAGCTACTAGGAGCAAAGGGCATCGCTACTAGGAGCAAGAACGCTACTAGGGGCTTTTGGCCTTCCTACTAGGAACAAGGCCATTGCGACTAGTAGCAAGAAGCTAGTAGGTTGGAGGCCATCGCTAGTAGCTTGGTAAGTTGGCGGTGAGTAGACTCTTATATGTAGACTCTAGCTACTAGAGACTGGATGCAGAAGGGTAAAGGGTTCTGCACGGAATCTCTGCGCAGGGGTTTGACCCTTCGAAGAACCCTTTGGGTTGACTTGGATCCGACGATCATATGGAAACTGCGTTCCAACCCAGGCTTAGCAAGAACTATATGTCCTTCCTGGCCAAACCTTTCTTTATTTCCAGCTTTCTTGCTAAGCACCTGTGCGTTCTCCCAGTTGGAGTCGAAGGAGTCCAGGGTCGCACCCATGGTCACCGTCTCAGCATGAAGTGAAGCAGCTCTGTGGTCACGGCGTGTCACGGTCTCTAGTGACTCTAGTGGCAAAGCTTACTGAGGAACAGTGGCTGTGACGACATGTTGACAATCGATTGGGTTTCTGCCTGAAGTTCTGCCCGACTTCTCAAAGGAAGATTGGACTCTCCAAGGCACAGCAAACATTGTTACTACTAGTAAGGCAGCACTTGTTCCTAGTAGCGTGGCACTTGTTACTACTAGTAAGGTCAAAGGAAGATTGGACTCTCCAAGGCACATTGGACTCAAGCTGCCATGCTGCCATTGCATTGAGAATGCGCGAAGCCTTTCGCAACGTCACTCGAAACACCCATGCATCTCCTCTCATCCTTGAGGGAATCCTATGAAATCTCCAAATGTTAAGAAAGGAGGGGAAGAATCGGGAAGAAAGGAAGGAACAGGAGAAATCAATGTTAATTATGAAGCTTTGATCTGCAAGCGATGGCCTCCAACCTAGGAGCGATGGCCTCCTACCTACTAGCTTCTTGTTCCTAGTAGTAAGGCCAGGAGCTCCTAGTAGCGTCCTTGCTCCTAGTAGCGATGCCCTTTGCTCCTAGTAGCTTCTTGCTCCTAGTAGCATGGCCAGGAGCCTCTAGTAGCGTC